ACTGCTCCATCTCCCCGAGGGGACTCAGGTAACATCACAAAACATACAAGTAAAAAGCAACATAACTATAAGATTAACAATACAAAATATATGCATAAAAATAACACAGTCCTGAACAACAAGCACCTTGGAAAGCACAGCTTTGTGAGAGTCGGAATCGTTTCCAGAAGTATACAAAGCTCAATGCCACTGCAATTCAGTCCCATCAATTAAATCTGATCACTTTAAGCTTGTGATCTTCATTTAGAACAGAACACAGCTAGCATAGTACAGTTGGACAATGATTTTGAAGCCACAATTTGTCACAGAAACACAATTGGGTGACTTTGAGTCATAGAATCATGGAATCGGAAGAGACCTCATGGGCCATCCAGTCCAACCCCATTCTGCCAAGAAGCAGGAATATTGCATTCAAAGCACCCCTGACAGATGGCCATCCAGCCTCTGCTTAAAAGCTTCCAAAGAAGGAGCCTCCACCACACTCCGGGGCAGAGAGTTCCACTGCTGAACGGTTCTCACAGTCAGGTCACACTCTCTCAGCTTGAAAGGGAAGGCAAAACTACCTCTGAACAAATCTTGCAACAACAACAACAACACAACAACAGTTCATCTTAGGGTTGCCATAAATTGACTTGAAGGCATGGGTTACAACCGGCAGCAGCAGCAAAGTTGTGTACATTAGTACATTGCACAAAGCATCATATTATTATTATATTTTTCGCTTGAAAGGGAAGGCAAAACTACCTCTGAACAAATCTTGCAACAGCAACAACAACAACACAACAACAGTTCATCTTAGGGTTGCCATAAATTGGAATTGAAAGCATGGGTTACAACATGACAGCAGCAAAGTTGTGTACATTAGTACATTGCACAAAGCATCATATTGTTATTATTATTATTATTATTATATTTTTCGCTTGAAAGGGAAGGCAAAACCAACTCTGAACAAATCTTGCAACAACAACAACAACAAAAGTTCATCTTAGGGTTGCCATAAATTGGAATTGACTTGAAGACATGGGTTACAACATGTCAACAGCAGCAGCAGCAAAGTTGTGTACATTAGTACAGTGCACAAAGCATCGTATTATTATTATTATATTTTTCGCTTGAAAGGGAAGGCAAAACCAACTCTGAACAAATCTTGCAACAACAACAACAACAAGACAACAACAGTTCATCTTAGGGTTGCCATAAATTGGAATTGACTTGAAAGTATGGGTTACAACATGACAGCAGCAGCAAAGTTGTGTACATTAGTACACTGCACAAAGCATATTATTATTATTATTATTATTATTATATTTTTCGCTTGAAAGGGAAGGCAAAACTACCTCTGAACAAATCTTGCAACAACAACAACAACACCAGTTCACCTTAGGGTTGCCATAAATTGGAATTGACTTCAAAGCATGGGTTACAACATGACAGCAGCAGCAGCAAAGTTGTGTACTAGGTTCTTGTGGGTTTTTTCGGGCTATAGTAAAGGTAAAGGTAGTCCCCCGACATTAAGTCCAGTCATGTCTGACTCTGGGGTGTTGTGCTCATCTCCATTTCTAAGCCGAAGAGCTGGCGTTGTCCGTAGACACCTCCAAGGTCATGTGGCCGGCATGACTGCATGGAGCGCCGTTACCTTCCCGCCGGAGCGGTACCTATTGATCTACTCACATTTGCATGTTTTCGAACTGCTAGGTTGGCAGAAGCTAGGGCTGACAGCGGAAGCTCACGCCGCTCCCCGGAATCGAACCTGCGACCTTTTGATCAACAAGCTCAGCAGCTCAGTGCTTTAACCCACTGCGCACGTTTATAGCCCGAAAAACCCACAAGAACCTAGTGATTCCAGCCATGAAAGCCTTCGACAAAGTTGTGTACATTAGTACATTGCTCAAAGCATCGTATTATTATTATTATTTCATATTTACTATTTTGTCTCTTAATTGAGGCCCAAAGCGGATGACAACATTAAAATAAGAGACACTGTCTATAATATATAACTATTCAAACAGAAGTAAACATACTAGTCAGTTAAAGTCACTTACAATACAAATAGTTAAAACAATTGAACTACTACACATAAAAATACCCTCTTTTAAAGCCTGAGTGAATGGTGCCTTTGGAAAAACAGGCCATACAAGAAAGCAAAGGCATGTTTACAAATCCAGGGCTGGAAGCAGATTCCCAGCCTTAAAATAGAGGAAAGCAGGATATAAGTGCAAAAAGGTGTGTAATGGTAAATATAGTAATATATGCTGGGAGGATGGACCCCAGATGCAACCTTACGAGTGGAAAGAAGAACCTAAGTAAGGGTACAATATAAAGTGGGCAATGTATAGTATAGTATGTGTAGTGTTGCATACTGTATGCCAGAAGTGTAAAAATTGTTGAAACATTCACACCTAGCTCCAACAGACAAGAGTCCTTTGTCCCACCCTGGTCATTCCACAGATATATAAACCCTTTTTCCTAGTTCCAACAGACCTCACTACCTCTGAGGATGCTTGCCATAGATGCAGGCGAAACGTCAGGAGAGAATGCCTCTAGAACATGGCCATACAGCCCCAAAAAAACTACAACAACCCAGTGATTCAGGCCGTGAAAGCCTTCGACAATACATTGTGTTGTGGTAAATATAATAATATATGCTGGGACCATGGATCCCCAGCCCTACTGCCTCAAATGCAACTTTACGAGTGGAAAGCTGAATACAAGTAGGGGTACAATATAAAGTGTGCAACGTTTAATATAGTATTTGCAGTGTTGCATATTGCATGCTAAAAGCATGGTTTCCTGCCTTATTACCTCTAGCATAGCCTTAAAGAGAGGAAAACATGGATTTCCAGCCTTTCTGCCCCAAGCACAGCCTTGTAATGTATAGTAAGTGCATTGTTGCATGCAGGATAATAATAATAATAATAATAATAATAATAATAATAATAATAATAACAACAATAACAATAATAATAACAACTTTATTTTTATACCCCGCCAACCATCTCCCCAGGGGACTCGGGGTTGCTTACAAGGGATATGCATAATTGCATGCTGATTTCCAACCTTATTGCCCCAAGCACAGCCTTGTAATGTACACTATGTATAGTATTGCATGCTGGAAGCTGGGATTTCCAACCTTACTGCCTCTAGCACAGCCTTAAGAGAGGAAAGCAGGGCTAAAATAAACGTAAAGTGTGCAGTGCAAAATATAATATTCTGGAAGCATGGGTGTCCAGCCTTATTGCCCCAAGTCCTGCCTTGTAAAGTATATGGAGTGTTGCATATTGCATGCAGGAAGCAGGGTTTTCCAGCCCTACTGCTTCAAGCATAGCCTTGTAATGTATAGTATGTGTAATGTTGAAAGCTGGAAGCATGGATTTCCATCTTAATTGCCCCTTAAGTGTGGAAAGCAGGGCAAAAATAAATATAAAATGTGCAGTGTTTACTATAATGGAGGTGGATGCATGGATTTCCAGCCTTATGGCCCCAAGTACAGTATAAGTGTAAAATGCAAAGTATGTAATGTATAGTATGTGTAGTGTTGCATATTGCATGCTGGAAGCAGGGATTTTCTAGCCTTATTGCCTCTAGCACAGCCTTGAGAGAGGAAAGGAGGGTTAAAATAAATGTAAAGTGTGCAGTGTTAAATATAATATATTGGTAGTATGGATTTCCAGCCTTATTGTCCCAAACACAGCCTTGTAATGTATAGTATGTGTAGTGTTGCATATAGCATACTGGAAGCAGGGTTTTCCAGCCCTACTGCTTCAAGCACAATCTGTAATGTATAGTATGTGCAATGTTGCATTTTGCAAGCATTATTTCCAGCCTTCCTGCCTCTAGTACAGGTTTAAGAGAGGAAAGGAGGTATAAAATAAATGTAAGGTGTGCAGTGTTAAATATAATATACTGGAAGCACGGATTTCCAGCCTTGTAATGTATAGTATGTGTAGTGTTGCATATAGCATGCTGGAAGCAGGGTTTTCCAGCCCTACCGCTTCAAGCACAGTCTGTAATGTATAGTATGTGCAATGTTGCATTTTGCAAGCATTATTTCCAGCCTTACTGCCTCTAGTACAGGTTTAAGAGAGGAAAGCAGGGTTAAAATAAATGGAAAGTGTGCATTGTTAAATATAATATAGTGGTAGCATGGATTTCCAGCCTTATTGTCCCAAAAATAGCCTTGTAATGTATAGTATGTGTAGTGTTGCATATAGCATGCTGGAAGCAGGGTTTTCCAGCCTTACCGCTTCAAGCACAGTCTGTAATGTATAGTATGTGCAATGTTGCATTTTGCAAGCATTATTTCCAGCCTTCCTGCCTCTAGTACAGGTTTAAGAGAGGAAAGGAGGTATAAAATAAATGTAAGGTGTGCAGTGTTAAATATAATATACTGGAAGCATGGATTTCCAGCCTTATTGCCCCAAGCACAGCCTTGCAAGGTATAGTATTATGGCATGTGCAATGTTGCATGGCTTTCCAAGCCCTACTGCTAATCCAAGTTGGGCCAGGCCTGCTTCAAGGTCAAGCAACGTGGAGGCCATGTGCTCCAAGCCCCATGCATTGCAAGCCCCACTCTGTGACTGTCCCCTTCTTTGCAGCCATTGTCAGCCTCCCATGGGGGAGAAAGGAGGGCCTCTGCCTAGTCCATGCCTTTGGCAGTTTTGCAAAAACTCTGCAGAGCAGAGTTTTTGCAAAACTGCCAAAGGCATGGACTAGGCAGAGGCCCTCCTTTCTCCCCATGGGAGAAGCAAAAAAACACAAACCAGGCATTTTTTCCAACCCCAAACTAAGCCTCTTCATCCCCCCACCCAGTTTAATGCAAGCCCCCTGCTTTGCCCCCAATTCACCTTGCGGCCCCTTTAAGAACGGCGCCTGCTCGCCCGGCACGTCTGCTGGACTGCAAGAGGAGAGAAAGGAGAGAGCGCGCGCACGCTCAGTGCAAACCACGTGACCCGCCTGCCCGGGGAAACCTGCCTGCCCGGGAAGCCCCGCCCCTTTCTTACCAAAGTCGCGCATGCGCACACCAACACACTCTTTCTACTCCTCCTGAGTCGCAAAACCAGCGACGGCGTTTTTATACAGCGGCTCCTAAGCCACGCCTACTCCCTCTCCGGCGCGTCAACGACTTACTGCGCATGCTCGCTGAGGATTGGCCTCTCATGGCTTTCTTGGCACAAGCCACGCCCCCCTCTCTCTTGCTTGCTGGCTGGATGACTACTGCGCATGCTCGCTGGGCAAACTTGGGAAAGTTAGCCTTTTCTTGTGTTTTTCTTTTTGTGCTTTGCGTTTATTTCCATACGGCCTCCAGAGGCTTTAAAAACCCATAAATAATAATAGTAATATTACAAATTTTTTTGGTAATATTTGTATTTATTTTCAGAAATAAATAAACAAGAACATATACCTTGGGAAGTCTGATCTGGCCACAGTGATCCATGCTCTTGTTACATCCCGAATAGACTACTGCATCGCACTCTACGTGGGGTTGCCCTTGAAGACTGTTCGGAAACTTCAACTGGTCCAGCGATCGGCAGCCAGACTACTCACCGGAGCGTCATACAGGGAGCACACCACCCCCCTGCTATGCCAGCTCCACTGGCTGCCGGTTCAGTTCCGAGCACAATTCAAGGTGCTGGTTTTGACCTACAAAACCCTGTACGGTTCCGGTCCAGTGTATCTGTCCGAACGTATCTCCCTCTACGTCCCACCCCGGAGTTTGAGATCATCTGGGGAGGCCCTGCTCTCGACCCCACCGCTATCACAAGTGAGGTTGGTGGGGACGAGGAGCAGGGCCTTCTCAGTGGTGGCCCCTCACCTGTGGAACTCACTCCCGGGAGAAATTAGGGCATCAACATCCCTCCTCTCCTTCAGGAGGAAAGTAAAGACGTGGTTGTGGGACCAGGCCTTTGGGCAATCTGACAACTAGATATGGACAACCAAATGACTAGGACTGACAGGACTGACAATGTGGAATTGGAAATTGGACTATGAGATAGCGAACGCTGACCGTCTATGAGGAGTAATTAGGTTTGTATCGTTTTATTGGTTTTAGGGTTGTAATGCAGGAATTGTTGCTTAACTGTTTCAACTGTTTAATTGATGTTATTTTGTTTTACTACTGTTATGTGATGCTGGCATCGAATTGTGCCTTTGTAAGCCTCCCTGAGTCCCCTCGAAGAAGTCCCCTGAGTCCCCTCGAAGAGTCCCCTAGAAGAAACCGAAATAAATAAATAAATAAATAAAGTTATAATATGCAAGTAATAATGATAAAACCTCCTGGGAAAACACCCTTTTAAACACTGCGTTGCAATTGCTTGCATGCCTAGTTCCATTTTTGGGAAAACTCAAGGCATTTGGATTTATTTCGATATCTAATATCACAAAGGACTACCGTCTCACCCGCCTCATAGGAAACCTGCTACAAAACAGGAGCTTCTTTGTTGAGTTCCAGGGCCAGAGAAGCAGATGGCGGAAAGAGAAGAACGGCCTGCCTCAGGGGAGCGTGCTTGCTCCATCCATGTTCAACATCTACACAAATGACCAGTCACTGCTAGAAGGGACAGAGAGCTTCATCTATGCTGATGATCGTGCCATCACCGCTCAAGCAGGGAGCTTTGAGATGGTTGACAGAAGCTCTCCGAAGCTCTAGGTGCTCTTACTGCCTATTACAGGGAAAACCAGCTGATCCCTAATCCATCTAAAACACAGACATGTTCCTTTCACCTTAAGAACAGACAAGCATCCCGAGCTCTGAAGATCACATGGAAAGGAATCACACTGGAGCATTGCAGCGCACCCAAATACCCGGGAGTCTCTCTGGACTGTGCTCTTACCTATTTATTTATTTATTTACTTTGCTTATATACCGCTGTTCTTAGCCCGAAGGCGACTCACAGCGGTTTACACAAGAAGCATTGCCTGAACATCAAGCAAAAAGTGGATGCTAGAAACAATATCATACGAAAGCTGACTGGCACAACCTGGGGATCACAACCAGACACAGTGAAGACATCTGCCCTTGTGTTATGCTACTCTGCTGCTGAGTATGCATGCCTAGTGTGGAACACATCTTACAGTGGATGTGGCTCTTAATGAGACATGCCGCATTATCACGGGGTGTCTGCGCCCTACACCACTGGAGAAATTACACTGTCTAGCTGGTATCATACCACCTGACATCCGCCGGGAAGTAGCAGCCAATAGTGAAAGGACCAAGGCAGAGACATCTCCAGCTCATCCCTGTTTGGGTATCAGCCAGCACGTCAACGACTTAAATCAAGAAATAGTTTTCTAAGATCTACAGAGACACTCGCTGGAACACCCCAGCAAGCGAGAGTCCAAAAGTGGCAGGCTCAAACCCAGAACCTCAACCAATGGCTGATACCAAATGAGAGACTCCCTGCTGGGCACACAGAAAACTGGGCGACTTGGAAGGCGCTGAACAAACTGTGCTCTGGCACCACGAGATGCAGAGCCAACCTTAAGAAATGGGGCTACAAAGTGGAATCCTTGACATGCGAGTGCGGAGAGGAGCAAACCACTGACCACCTGCTGCAATGCAACCTGAGCCCTGCCACATGCACAAGGGAGGACCTTCTTGCAGCAACACCAGAGACACTCCAAGTGGCCAGATACTGGTCAAAGGACATTTAATCAACTACCAAACTTGCAAATTCTGTGTTTTGTCTGTTTGTTTTTGTTCAAAATGTAATACAAATGTCTGGTTGCTGATGACATGCTAAATAAAGAAAATAAAGGCAAACCCCATTATTGACAGTCTGCTACACTGATTTTATTTCTCCCCCTGCCCCAAGCTGCCAGTAGCTTAACCCCGTCCCTTCAGGCAGAGGCTTTTTCTGATTGGCCAGCCTGAACACCTGCCAGCCTATCAAGATCTCTTTTAATCAGGCTCATCAAGGCCTGGGCAAACTTTGGCCCTCCAGGTGTTTTGGACTTCTACTCCCACAATTATAAACAGCCATTTAAATTTGGAGGAGGAAAAGAAAAAGGAATAAGAGGGCAAGGAGGAGAGGAAAAGGAGGAGGAGAGGAAAGAAGAAAAGGAGAAGTAGAGGAGGAAGGAGAAGAAGATGATGATGAAGGAAGAGAAGAGGAAGAGAAGAAGAAGGAAGAACGAGAGGAAGATGAATAATAATAAGAAAAAGAGGTGGAGAAAAAGAAAAAAAGGGGAAGGAGGAGAGGAAGAAGGAAGAGAAGAAGAGGAGGAAGAAGATGATGGAGCAGGATAAGATGACAGAGGAGGAAAAGAAGGGGAGAATAAGATGACAAAGGAGAAGGAGAAAAAAGAAGATGGGGAGAGGAAGAGGAGAAGTAGAAGAGGAAGGAGAAGAAGATGATAATGAAGGAAGAGAAGAGGAAGAGAAGAAGAAAGAACGAGAGGAAGATGAATAATAAGAAGAAAAAGAGGTGGAGGAAAGGAGAAAAAGAGGAAGGAGGAGAAGGGGAGGAAGATAATAAAGGAGGAGGAGAAGATGACAGGAGGAAAAGAAGAAGGAAGAAGAAGAAGACAAATAATAGGAAGAAGAGGAAGGAAGAGGAAAGGAGAAGAAGAGGAGGTGGAGGAGGAGGGGAAGAAGAAGGAGAATAAGATGACAAAGGAGGAGGAGAGGAGGAGAAGAAGATGAAGGAGCAGGAGAAGATGACAGCGGAGGAGAGGAAGAAGAAAAGAAGTAAGGAGAAGAGCAAGATGAATAAGAAGAGGAGGAGGGAACAAGAGGAAGGAGGAGGAAAGGCAAAGAAGAATAGGAGAAACAGGAAGAGGAGAGGAGGAAGGGAGAGAAGAGAAGGAGGAAAAGGAGTAATAAGAGGAAGAATAGGAATAATAAGGGGAGTAGGAGAAGGAATATTAAGAGAAAAAGAATAAGAGGAGGAGAGGAAGAAGGGGAGGAGAAAAAGAAGGAAGAGGAGAAGGAGGATGCTTGCCATAAATGCAGGCGAAACGTCAGGAGAGAATGCCTCTAGACCATGGCCATATAGCCTGAAAAAACCTACAACAACCCAGTAAATATAATGCTTTTTTATGGTTTGTAATCAGCTCATCCAATGTCTGTTTCTGAGAAAAAGCTTCATTCTGGGTTGTTTTCCTGACACAACTTCTTTTTTAAAAGCGCAGCCTTAAATTCCCAACTGGTGCTTTTAATATCTATCATTAGCAAAAATTAATAACGATGAAAATGTAAATGCAGGATGTTACATAACTCGAAATAATTGAGGGTCACGGGAATCTGTCTCACCGGAGCGGGCCTTTGCATGCCCACGTTTTACGATTCCAGTCTATGACACAAACATTTCTGAGTCTCTCCCAAGGGAAGAACTGCATGCACTTTGCTCAAAAGTTTGCAATATTTTAAAAAATAAATTAGCGTGGTATAGTGGTTAAGAATACGAGAGGAAATATATATCTTCCTGGAGGTCTTTAATGGCTTTTAAAATATATATCTTCCTGGAAGTCTTCAGGAAACCTTGACTATAGTGACTAAAATCCTGTGTATTCTACCTTTAAATCAGTCCATTCCCACGTTGAATCCAGGTGCTCAGAGAAGGCAGACAATTAATGCTCCTGGGAGCATCCCAATTAACTCCAAATCCTATTAATTATGCTTTGTTTTAAAGGGAAATTGCCTTTTTCAAAGTTGATAATAGATCTGTTTCTCTTTTATGGAACCACACTTCCAAAATTCTGCAAATTGAATTGAATTGATCCCTTTTGCCTTAAAATGTTGAGTATACATTGCGGAAAGCAGATGGCGGAAACAGAAGAATGGCCTGCCTCAGGAAAGCGTGCTTGCTCCATCCATGTTCAACATCTACACAAATGACCAGCCACTGCCAGAAGGAACAGAGAGCTTCATCTACGCTGATGATCATGCCATTACTGCTCAAGTAGGGAGCTCTGAGATGGTAGAACAGAAGCTCTCCGAAGCTCTAGGTGCCCTTACTACCTATTACAGGGAAAACCAGCTGATCCCCAACCCATCTAAAACACAGACATGTGCCTTTCACCTTAAGAACAGACAAGCATCCCGAGCTCTGAGGATTATTAC